CCCCCCTCCACCTCTCTCCTTCCAGCTCCCCCAGTGCTCCACCCCCACACTCCAGTCTAAATAATTCCTCCTCTGCCTAGTAGTTTGCAGTCTGCTCTCATGTCCCTCCCTTAATCATCACTCAGCCAAATGAGACAGATATAGTTGTGTGCGGCTCCTCACGGATCGCTCAATTCAGCCCCCAGATCTCTTTGTGACTGGTCCCTGGCTGTCTGCAGGGTATTGAGGTGCCCCCCTCTTTGCTGCCCTTGTCATTGTTCCACTGGCAAGAAGGGGCTGTGATAATCCCAGTGCAGGATGCCATGGTGTGTGGGGCAGGCTGGCTGCTCTGCCCCGTCAGCTAGGTGTGTGGAGTGCATGTAACCCAGACTGGAGGACTGGGCTCATTGTCCTCAGCCCACTGCTTCCCAGCCCAGTGCCAAAAGCTAGGCTGGCTTTCTAGGGTGGCTGTGAGCCAAATCCATGCTTTCCAGGTATCCTGGCTGCCTTCCTTTCTTCCTGGCCAGCCAGGCTATGCTTCAAACCCAGATCAATCCTAGATGTGCCTTGCCATTGGTGTCACCAGTGCATGTGAGCTTACCTGATGTGACCACATATGCTGACTGTCAGACTCAGGGATACATCCTATAAGGAACACGAGTGCAGGGGATCATTTGGGTGGTAGGCATGACATCCCTCGCTGTGCAGTGGTTGAGGTCTGCACAGCTGAAATAGAAAGGCTGAACACACCTTTCCCCTCACCACAAATCATTTTCCACCCCTCCTTTTTGCCCTCTGTCCCATGTGCCACCTCCCATTCCTTTTGCAGGGTCAGGACAATAGGAGCAGGAAGCGCACAGAGAGAGGCACACAACACCTGCTGTCTCTGTGCTGCTCCCAGCACCGACGCAGAGGACCTGGACGCTGCCTGAGTGCTGCGTGGGCTGCTGCCATGAGTCACAGCCTCCAGCAGAGCCACTGCGGGGAGTGCAGTGTTTACAGTGCCCACAGTTCGTCTCTTGTCCCTGCACTGTGTGGGCCCCCGTGGCTCCATGTGTGAGCAGGACTGTGGGAAGGAAGGAGCGGAGGGCATGAGGAGGTGGTGTTGAGGTCACCTGAGCAGTCAAGGTTGGTCCTGTGTGGGTGCAAGATGGTCTGTAGGAGAACCTGCAGGGAACAGTGGGGGAAGAGAAGGATGGTGTGAGGCAGATGGAGGCCAAAGCCAGGCTTGGGGCAGGAGCACGGGCACTCCACCACCCTATAAGATGACATTTGGGAACTGAAAGGAGCCTCCTTCGTTCCTGCATGCTTCGATGGCTGCGGGACCAGTGGTGGGGCACGGGTCCGGGCTGCCGTCCCCGGTTCCTGTCGTTCCCTATCTCCGCCGCTCCTGGTCGTAGCCCTGTGCCGGGGCGGGACAGTGACGACGGACCTCCCCTCGTCCCTTTCCGCACCCCGGCCATCAGCGCGGGCCCCAAAGCCACCATGCGCTCGCGGCGCAGGAGCGACACCGTGTGGCTACGTCGCTTCTTGGGGTGGGAGAACGCCTAGGACCCTCGCATCCCATCCCGACCTCTCCTCCTCCTTAATCCCCCTGCCGGTCCTGGTCCCCAGTCCCCTACCGAGGTACTGCTGGAAGGACAGTGAAGCTGATGTCCCCTCTGGGCTTGGTGATTCCTGCTCTGTTCTGGAAGGAGTGGATGGTTTACGTCAGGGTGGCAGCGACTCCAGGAGATGTCACCGTTGCTGTCACTGTTGTACACTGCCCACGTGGCCCAGTTTTTTTCTTCCATTGGCCCCTGACAGTCCCCGGGGCAGCAGTGGGGTGAGTTTCAGACATCTCACTGCCGTACCCCAGCGATGACCCCAGTGCCACTGCTTGCAGAGACACTGCCTGGCTCACCTCTGCCCTCCCATCTGAACGTCACCACCAAAGAGTGGCAGGCTCCAGTGTGAGGCACATTCTGGTTACCTTCCCGTTGCACTTAGCCATGTCCAGGGGAGCCCTGGGGCCATGAGCAGGGATTGGATGGGAGTGCTCTCCTGGGCTCCTCACCCTGGCTTGCAAAGCCAAGCATTCATCTTCCTCGCAAGCTCAGACGCTGCGGTGGCTTACCGATGCCTGTGCAATGTCTGTGAGTCCAGCAGAGGGTGCCACCTTCCCGCAGTGCTGCTGCAGGATACCCTGGGACAGCAAGGACGCCCACGGCCAGGCAGAGCAACTTAGGTGCACAGCTCTGTGGGGCAGCGGGACCTTCCCCTCGGGCCCTTGCTGTGGGATGTCCCAGCAGGAGCACAGTGCCCACGGGACAGCACCCTGCGGTGGCGATGGACCTGGGGTGAAGGACCGTGGACCTTGGGGTGATATATAGGCAGCTCTGACACCTCAACTACAATGAAATTATCAAGTCTAGGATTTCCTTCCAGGGAGGGTCTGATCATGAAGGAAGAGTGCATCTGTGGGGTTGGGCTGTCCTTGTTGCAGCCTCAACTCCTACCAGCTCCTGTAATTTGGGGCTATGAGACCCGTGGTGCTTTGCACCAGCATTCAGGAGAGGTTTGCAGTGGCAGAGGAATACAGGCTACTCAGGCTTTCCTAGGGACAGGGACACATTCTCCAGTTGGACCAGCAGAGGACACTGGTCTTGGTGGAGCAGCACATCAGCATGTCACAGCTGGAATGCCATAGCAGTGCCCTGCAATGCGTTTCCCACCACGTACTGGCAGGCTGGAGACATGTTCTGTCTCCCCACTGGTGGTGGCTGGGGGACTGCATCTGCCACAGCAGGTGCACACTGGGCAGCTGACATGGTGGTGACAGTATAACCCTGAGAGGTGTGGGCCAGCCCAGCCACCTGCATCTCTCATTAGCCAACTCCGTGGGGACAGCAGCCAACCACGCGTATTGGCAAGGATGACAGTGTGTGGTGGGGGGGGGGGCAAGGGATGATGGAGCCAGAAATGGTGCAGTGCCCTGTACTCAGGCACAGGGGAGTGCCAGGAGCAGAGTGGGCATGACTGTCATGGCACTGCACCCATGCCGATGTAGTTTGGGAACAGACTTATGTGTCCTGAGAGTTCCAGAGGTTGGAGACTAGGAGGAAGGGAGGAAGCAAGAAGGGACCTCCACACACACTTCACAGCTTGCTTTGAAACCCTGATCTGGCCCATGCTCTGCTCCTCTACTTGGATCCTGTGGGTGTGCAGAGCATGGATTTGGAGTGCCTTTAGTACCTACGTAGAGTGCAGTCCCACTCTCCTCCCCTGCTCCAGCAGCGTAATGTAAACAGCTGCCCACAGCATTCTGGTTTCAGGTACTCAACCACCTACCAGCTTGTCCTTCTTCCTTCCACCGTCCTCTTCTGCAAAGTGATCGGTACCTGGATTTTCACAGCTGGACAACACTGCTGTGGTTTGGACCCAGTGGCAGCCCCTCTCACTGGGACTCTGTAGCTGTGGGAGTGGTCTGCAGGAAAGCCTCCCTTTGCTGGCAGCGTTGAAGACCAAGTGCCACCAGCAGCTTTCCCTGGGTGCTGCAGGGATATCTCTAGTACTGGAGAAGCCTTTAACCATCAGCACACCTCCAGAGGGCCCTTTGTTATTTGGAGTTTCCCAGTGCAGCTGCAAGCAGCTTGTTCCCAGCACCCAGCCTCCACTGTTGCCCAGGGCTTTTTATCTGGCTGCTCACAGCCTCCAGCACCTCTGTGGACAAGGAGCAGCTTTGCTCCTTGTCAATGCATGAGCTTTCCTCCTTTGCAGAGCTGGGATTGCAGCTGGGAGACAGGGACAGGAGCAGCTGGGAGACAGGGTCAGGAGCAGATGTCCCCAGGCACAAGCTTCTCCACCCATAATTGCTGCAGGACTTTTGGGGATGCAAGGAACAGCCTGCATGATGGGACAAGGACCCAAACCCAGGGCAGGGTGTTCAACACAGCAGGAAGCAGTGGGATCCCCCCAAATCCCCCTGGGACAAGCCAGGGGGGTGCTGTATGGCATCTGCGACATGTGCCTCATATAGTCAGCAGCCAGAGGTTGGTTGGACACAGCTGTTTAATGGATACTTCCCAGTACAGAGCGGAGGCTGCAACACCTTATATCCCCAGCTGCCTGCTCGCTCCAGTCATGTTCCAGCCAGCCAATGCCCCACCTCAGACCCAGCACCTGAAATGTTGCACTGGCACATCTCCCGGCCTCACGTATGGCCTGAATCTCTGTGATTGTCTCACAGCTTGTAAAGGAGGGAGTTTCTGAAGGGGAAAGGGAATGCCTAAAGGGAATAGGGAGGCCCTAAAGGGGTAAGCCCTGATTTGGGGAGGGGGAGCCAAGCGGGATGGTGCCTCCATTGCCCAGGCTGAGGAGGTGGTGATGAGGCTTCGCCAGGTGGGAGCAACCAGACCTCAACCCCAGAGTGCATGGGGCAAGGTCTGCAAAGGACCCTGGGTCGAGCCTGCCCTACTGCCCTGTAGCCTGCTGCCTCACACCCACCCTGTGAGGCCTTATCCTGGGGGCAGGAGGAAGGACCCTGGAGGACCTTTCCTATTCTCTAGCCACAGTTCTGGGCTGTGGGAGGCTGCCAGCCTGCACTGCTGCCCTGAGGGGGACCCAGGGATGTCAGCGCTGCGGGGTGGGGACAGCCTTGCAGCAGAGGAGCCTTCCTCTGCCCCATGGCCTCCAGGGCCTCCCCACTGCAGGGCCTCCAGCACCAGGGGTGTTCTCCCCTGCATCCAAGGCGGCACCTCCTCGCAACCCGGCACAGCCCACACCTCGGGCGTCACCCAGCAAATCCAACACGGAGGCAAGGGGAAAGGGGGAGCAGCTGCTTTCCCACCTGCCAATCAGCTGCTGGCTCCCCACTGGCAGAGGGTGGGGAGCTGCCTGGGATTGGCAGGTGGGATGAAAGGGGCGGTACTTCCCTCAGCCAATGGCATGCGGGGCCGGTCGCCGTGGCAACGGGGCTCCCCTGCAGGGCGACAGGGAAGGCTTCGGCAACCAAGATGGCGCCGGGGCAGGTAGGCCAGGAGCTAGGCCGGCGGCTGCAGATGGATGGCAGCACTGTTGGGACGGGCTGCCAGGATGTAGGCGACATTCTCCCGCAGGAATCTGGGCCAGTCGATGGACCTGTGGGGCAGATGGTGTCACCTCACAGCCCCCTGGAGGACAGCTTCAGAGAGACCTCCCCAGTGCTCGCCCTTCAAGATGGCATGCCCACCACTCCAGGGCGGCCCTCACCTGGCCTCCTCCTGCTCCGACTCCAGCAGTGTCTTCTCCCGGCTCTTGCCACTGCCGCTGCTGGCTGGGCTGCTCTCTGACATGGGCCCAACATGGCTGATGCTGCGGGGTGACAGAGCACCGTTCAGCCCTGCCACAGACAATGGCTGGCAGGGAAGGGTTTGCAGCATGAGGGAAGGGCTGCAGCCATGGAGGAGGAAAGGAGAGGCCTCCTCAGTCTGTGCCGGGGTCCCCTCCATACCTGACACTGCAGGATGGTGTCTCCTTCTGGTGCTTGCGGAACCAGGCGTGCTGGGCCTTATGGCACTCGCCCTCCCCAATGAAGCCACTGCCATCCTGGTCCAGGGCCAGGAAAGCAGCACGTGCCCGCTCCCGCTCCTTGACTGTCAGCAGCCGCAGCAGGGAGTTCTGGAGACAGAGAGGTTTGGGGAACATCCAGGTTTGGGGATCCCCCACTATTGGCTGTGGAGGATCTGGGCAAAACCCCGGGGTCACAAGCAAGCTGTGATGGACATCCCAACCCTGTGACCATACCGGCGGCCGGAGTTTCTGCAGCAGCTGGATGGACTCATGGGAGAGGAAATCTGGCCACTCGATGTGTCCCTTCTTGTCGGGGTCCAGGGCAGAGAACTGCAGTGTGGCCCGCTCCTCCTGTGCCTCCTCCATAGGCCGCTCAAACTGCTGCTTGTGCACCAGGTGCTTGTAGTGCAGGAAGTCGTCCAGTGTCAGGGAGGTTTCTGTGGGAGCACATTCAGAGCAGCCCTTCCACCAGCCTTCCCCCAGGCGCATCCCCCCCATTTCCCCTGCTTCCTTGCTATGGGATATGAACAGCTGCTATCTTTTGCACAGCTTATACCTTCTGCCCAACAGGGTGACACCCCAACCTGGGAGCCATGTGCAGGGTGAGCAAGGGCTCAGCCCATTCCATCACAGGAGGGATACGCACCTGGGATGATCTTGCACTGCCGCAAGGTCTCCATCAAGCTGTACATCTCCTCCTCTGTCAGCAGGAGGTTGAGGTTGTCCTAGAGGGAAAGGCAGGGAAAGTGTTAGCATCCAATGGTGGCGGGGGATATAGAGAGGGGGCAGTGTCCCCAGCCCCATGGTTGCTCCCCATTAGTGTTGGTGATGGGAGCTGAGGAACTGTAGAAGCCCCATCGCCCTGGGGCAGGTCACAACATTGGAGCCTGGTGGGCACTCACGCAGTAGTAGCAGCTCCAGCCTGTCTCAGTATGTGCAGTCTCTGTCACCTCCACAGCGCTGTCGTTCTGCAGGTAGCCCATGCGGCGCAGGCAGCCATCATGGTACACCCGACTGCAGACACGACAGGGGAAGAGGCTCTCAGCTGTCCACACTTCACAGATCTCACACATCTCATCATTGAGGACCTGTGGAGCAATGGTACAGCTAAGCATCTTGGGGTGCTCAGCATGGCTCCCTGGCTTGGGGGCCCTACATCACTGGTATGTGTAGGAGTGCAAAGGGAACAGGAGAGTAAATTCTTGGGATAGTAGAAGGAATGTCTGGCTTTGTGGCCAGGGGACCTTATGGAAGGGTGCATGGGTTCACAGGAGTGAATGAAAGGTCAAAGGGTATGGCCATAGGGTTGGTGGGGTTGTAGCTTCTCTGGAGTCCAGTTCTGCAGGTATGGATGAGCAGGCTCTTAGGCTGTAGGTTGGCTGAACTACAGACTTATGGGTGTGGATAGATGGAAGTTTTGACTTGAGAGTTTGCTGACTGTGTGTGAAAGGACAAGCTGTAAAGTCGTTGGTTGGCTGGGTTGCCAGCTTGTGGTTGTGGGTGGATGGTTGTGTAGGGTTGCAGATGTGGGTTGGTGGCTATAGGATTGCAGGCATGCGTGAATAAACTGTGGGGCTGTAGATTTACTGGGCTGTGAAAGTTGTAGGTGTGGATGGTTGGGTTGGTCTGTAAGGTTGTGTGAACAAACACACAGAGTGGATCACCCCAGAGCTGGAAAGATCCCACTCCCAGATTCTGCCCTACTGAGCTGCATGTGTGCCGTGGCCAAGCCTGTTGAGCCACCTATCTCAGGGGAGTCTGTCACCACCCTGCAGGCCTTGGAGGTGCTTGCACATCCCCTGTGCATCTCCAACTCTGGCCTCATCCCTACCTCCCTGTCCCCATGCCCGGCTGCTTGCCTGCTCCCGCTGCTCCAGGCTGATGTCCAGTGGCTCATCATCGTGCAGCTCTCGCTGGGGCCGAATGAAGGCGGGTGGTGTGAACCTGTTGGCTCGATCAAACTCCTCTGGCTCCACACCTCGGCCATCCCGCAGCCGCTCCCAGGCAGCCTTACTGGCGCTGACCTCTTCTGGCTGTGATGGCCCTGCAGATGCCTCCTCCTCTGCCTCTTGCACTGTCTGCTCCAGTGTCCCCTGGCGCACGCCCCCAGCCTCTGCCCTCCTCCGTGCTACTGGCTGCTCCCGCAGCCCATCTTTGAAAGCTGACACAGCCAAGCTGACCTTCTGCACCTTCTCCACCGTCTGCCGTCTTGACATCAGCACCCCCATGGCTCTGCAAGGGGGGAAAGGTGCTCAGCGCTAAGCTCTTGTGGTGCAGTGCTGTGCCATGCTGCTGTACCACTGAGACAAATCCCTGGTCCCCAAAATGGGGTAAACCCATGAAAAAAAAAGCCCAAAACCCATGGTAGCATACTTGGATGGTGACCATGGTGGCTGTGGGGAGAAGGACCCAAACCCCTGCAGAGTTCTGAGCAAGGGAAGTCTGAGTGTTGGGGCACCTTTCCTCACCCATCCTTGAACTGCAGCTTCAGCTTAACAAGGATTGCTTGCAGGCTTTTTAAACAGCAGACCAGTGGATCCCAGAGGGCCAAGATCACTTGTGACCCTGCTCTTTGCTTGCAGCCCAGAAAAAAAAAGTGTTTTTAGCCAGCTGAAGGTGCAGTGTATCCCCCCAGCATCTCACTGAAGCAGAGCTCATGCTGGTTCTCTTACCTTTCCTAAATTTATTTTCACCCTCAAGTCTCTTCATCTCTCAACCTCAATAGTTGTATGTTTGTGCATCGTGTCCGTGAGTGCTGAGCACCCTGTAGCACCCTGCAGTCCTCCTCAAAATGTGGCCTGGGGCTGGTTCCTCCCAGGGGAGGCTGGGTCATGGAAGAGCTCTGAGGTGCAGGAGGGGTAATGGAGCAGCTCAAAGGCTTGGGGCATATGGACTCCAAGAAGGGACTTTGGTGCAGAATTGAGGTAAGAGCAGCTTGGGGCAAAATGGGGAGGGCAGCAGTGGCAGGAAACAGGTTGGGCTCTCTATCAGTGCAGGTGGACATGAACCCAGGCTGCACAAGTGCAACAATGGAGTGAGCTGGAGGTGGAGAGAAGGAAAATTTCTTCTCCAGCGATGTGGGGCACTGCATCACCCCAAAGGGGTCCCAGCACTACGTTGTGCCCGGCTGGAGTGGAACTGGGGAAGATGTGGCAGACAATAGGAGCTTCCAGCCCTGTAGCCTCCCTGTCCTTGCTGGAGCTGCACGACTGGTGGCACTCAGTACCTATGTAAGAGAGGATCATTAGCGCAGCCATCTCCCAGCTTCTCTGGCCTCCGCGGCACACCGGGAGGCAGGGATGTTCCTGGGGAACAAGATAATTAGAAGCAACGATATGACTGGGATTTCACAGTGGCAGGATGACCCAGCTCTGCAGGCACTGCTGCAGCAGGGAGCCTCAGCACCGTAATTACAGCTGCCCCACATCTGAGCTGAGCATGCAGGCAGGCAGCAGACTGCGCCTGCACCAAAGCTGCCATGCAGCGGATGCGTGGCCCTGCACTCCCACTCCTGCCTGGCCAGCTCCTGCTGCACCAGCCCTGTTCACGTGCGTGAATGCACACACACATGCATAGGCATGCAAAAACAAATACTACTGCACGCACATATGCATGTTGCTTTCTGGCCCCTCCAATTCTAAGACCATCTGTGCGTACATTCTCACATGCAGTGCTGCGTGTGCACACATTGTACCCCATCTCCTGTGCAGGGGGACACGTGTGTCCCCAGGAGCCACTCTGCAGGTTTGGCACATGTCTTTGGAGCGTGCACATTTGGGCTGGGGTATTCGCACTCATCAGCTCCCACATTCAGTTTGTGGCTGGCACCCAGCACAGCTGCCTGGGCTTTGGAAAGAGCTGGAGGCATGTGTCCAAGCCACAGCAGCAGCAGCGCTGCAGCTGTGCTGGTGGGAAGGAAGATACCTGGATATCTCTATGGCCATGCAGCATGGCCACCCGCTGCCCAGGTGGCTCAGAAGCCCATCGGCCATGGGTAGGGTCAACTCTCCTGCTAGGCAGCATTGCAACTCTGCCTGCAACCCACTGAGCTGGGGGTACAGCAACCTCTTGAGCTGCCTCTGCAGGTCCTGTGTCCCTGAGCTCTCCTTGGCCTGTTGCTGGCCTCATCCTATCCAAGGATGCAAAAGAGGAGAGCACTTGGAACACCAGTCTCCCCGGTAGCTGATGTTCCCCAGGCTGGGGAAGCATGGGCTTGTGACATGCCCCATGCCATTGCCAAAGTGTTCCAGTGTACCTTCCTGCCTCCAGTCCCTGGTGATCATCCTATTCCAGTGCCAGCCTGTGTCCCCTGCCACCAGCTGCTGCACGCCTGGCATTGAGCCCAGAGGCCATCACACTTCTGTCATGGCTTGTGTCTGTTCTCAGCCCTGCTGGTCTCCATGTCTCTGCTAGAACTACCTGGCTGGATTGCTTCCAACCCAATTTTACTCCTCTCTGGGTGTCTCTGTAACAGGATGTCTGTACATTTAGAGGCAGAATGGCTTCACCCTCATCACCTAGCCAGACCCAGGCCCAAAGCTTCCTAGAAACCCCAGTGTTGCATTGCTTTCTCTAGGTTCCTCCTCTCCTGGTGTCCCCTGGATGTAAAGGCAACCAAAGGCGTCCTTCCCCATAGCAGCCCAGCTTCCTGCCTCTCGCATCCTGACCACTGCATCCGGCATCCCCATGTCTCCCTGAGGGAAATTGGCTCTGTTGCTGTTTGTGGCTGCCATTGGAGATGCCCAGCAGTTCAAGATCTGGTGCTGTCACCCTGCTTACCTTGGCCTGAAGCACTGGGGCCTTGACTTTGCTGCTGCGCACCGACACAAGGGCTATTTTTAGGTTGTGGCCATCAAAGAGCTAAATCTGAACTGGTTTTGGCTGCAAACACCCAGCTCAGCTGAGTCCTGCCAGGGGCAATCGCAGCGGCTGTGGGCATCTTCCCTCCTTTCCTTTGCTTCAATCATCTACATCCTATCCTGCCTTATCCCCCAGGCTGCACTGCTTCCCTGTGTTCTTGTGGTGGCAAATGCTCTTTGCTGCTTCATCTCTGGAGTGAACCACAGCGAGGAAGCACTTCATCATCCATGCTCTGTTGGATCATTCTTCCCAGGTAATCAGGGCACTCTGCACGGGGAAACTGAGGCATGGTTGAGGTGGGGCTGGTGTCCAGCATGGAGGCAGCCTGGGAGGAGGTTAGCTGGGCTGGCCTTGGCACCAAAGCCTTGTGCTGGGTGCTGGTGTACTGACTTTGGCTGTGCACAGAGGGGGGGTAATGGTGCGGGTGGATGTGTTGGGTGGATGTGTCACGGGTGGGTGCGGAGCAGCACAGTGCAGCGTGGGCGCAGTGGTGGCTGCAAGCACAGGATGGATGTGTCGGGAACCAGCTGTGGGTGGATGTGTTACGGAACAGCTGGGAGCATAAGGTCGCTGTTACAGCCCGGTGGGGTTCTGAGGGGGCTGCTGCAAGAGTTTTGGGCATGGCATAGGTGCTGGCTTTGGGTAGGCAGCAGCTCAGTGAGCAAAATGAGGTCTTAGTGTGAGCAAAATGAGGTCTTAGTGTGATGCAGCCACGAGCAGGGGCATTGGTATCCCTTGCACCAATCCTGAAAAGATGTAGCAGGGGTGTGTGAGGAGCAGGACCCCTTTGGGGAAGGATGTCGTGTCCCCTTCTCCCCCCACCCAACCCTGGCTCCCGTGGACCAGGTCAGCTCCTTGCCCTTACGAGTCTAATACTGATTTTTGTCCCCAGTGCTGTGCTTGGGCTACTCCCAGGGCTGCAGCGCTGTGGGGAGAAGCATTAGGAATGCAGTGCAGATATGGGTGACAACCCAGAGATCCCAGGACCCAGCTTGGTCTGAAGGGCAGTGAGCAGTGCTGGGAGGAGCTGATGCAGCTCTTGCACAACCCTCCCTGCTGCTGCCTGCCCAGGGCACCCCACATTCCATCCCCTGAGCTGACCTGTGCAGCCAGAGATCCCCAGAGGGGTCTGGCAGCAGCCCCTCATCCTCTCTCCCTGGCAGATGATGTGCACTGGGGCCAGGATACTGTCAGGGTTGCTGCAGGGAAGTGACCTGGTTGCAGTGCAGCAGAAGGGTTGGTGGCATCCGATGCTGGTAGCAACCTCATCACCCTCTGCAGGGGCAAGGAATGTCTGGGGGGGTGGGCAGAACCCCAGCTGTGCAGTGTTTCTCTCCCGGGGACACCCGGCTGTTGGCTGCTGTCCCTGCAGGATCAGGCTGCCCATCCTGCCGCACCATGGCTGATGTTATAGGTGTGTCGCACGTTTACATCTCCCAGAGGGGGATGAAAATGCCATGACAGCTGAGTCCCTTTCTCTGCAGCAGACACAGCTCCCACCCAGCTCCCCACTTTTCATCTTCATCCCCAACACCCACATTGGAATCCCATCACCTGCACAAGACCCTTCTGCACCATCCACACCCCCTCTCCCAGGTGCCCCATCCCAGGCTCCCCCTCCTTGGCACCAGGACCCCAGGGTGACCCACCCACGGGTGTTGCGATGCACAACCAGCCCACGCCACTCGCCGAGCAAAGCTCCAGCAGCAGCAAAAAAAGCCACTTACCAGGGTCCTGTTGAGAGCACAAGCCCTAGAGTGCTGCCCATACGATGCCCATCGCCGCCGTTCCCGGCCACCACCTCCTCTCCCCGCGGGTGCTCAGCGCATCCCGCGCTCTGCACACAAATCCCTGCCGGGGAAAGGAGCGGCGAGGCTGGTACCCGGAGAACCAGAGCCGTGTGCTGAGCGCCGAAGGATGCAGGAGACAGCGAGATGCTGACAGCGGATGCCGGTGTCTAGCGCGCACACACACACACACACACACACGGAGGAAGCAGGGAGCTTGTGACTGGGGCTGAGCAGATGCAGCCTGGTTTGCTGTCCCTGTACCAATTGCTGCTTGAGCTGTGTTAAACAGCTCTCCAAGAGATGGAGCATTTTCTTTTTTTTTTTTTAAACTGGGCTGGCATTGGCTGAGAGATACCAATAAAAGCTTTCCCTGCAAATCTTCTGGCCCCCAGGATGAGCTGCTTTTCTTAGAGACAACCTCAAGGACTACAGAGCTGGGGCTGCTGGTCTGGTGAAGGAGCAGAGGGCTCTGCTTCCACCCTGGGATCTTCCCCATTGAGCTCCAGACACAAACTGCTGCCACTTTAAACCATTACCAACTAAGCATCCTGTGGGGCAGGGACACAATGGTTTCTGTT